AGCTATAAAATCATAATGATGTCAAAACAGAAATAGATTAACATCAGAAAAATGAAAGTCATAAATTATAAAATTTCATAAAAAGATTATTACAATTTTGAGTTAAAAATAAGAAAATAAAAGATTTAGCTGGTTTTTAAAAGTGTCCAGACTGTCAGTGCTGCGTAAGGATAAAGGAAGATCATGCCAAAGTCGGGGTGCAACAGTCCGGATGGAGCGATCACCTCGACTTTTATATTTGGTCTTTGGAACTTCTAGAAGGTTCTGGTGTGTAGACCTGAGGGCTTTAACAGTTCAGTAATACAGGGAGGAGATTGACCACGTAGAGCCCTGAAAGTTACAGTCAGGATTCTAAAATGAACTCTGAAGTTAACGGGTAACCAGTGCAGAGACATTAGAATAGGAGTGATGTGTGCTCTTCTGTTTGCTCCAGTTAGGAGCCTCGCTGCAGAGTTCTGGACCAACTGAAGGCGGTCAAGGGCTTTTTTGTTAAAACATGTGAAAAGTGTGTTACAGTAATCTAGACAGGAGGAGATAAAGGCATGGAGAACCATTTCAAGTTCATGTTTTGACACCAACCTTCTCAGTTTTATGTAATCTCCTCTCCCCTAGCATAGCTGCTACTTACCAAATGGCAACATTTACAGTATGGTGGTTCGTTCCTCCTGTGGGAAGGATTTGAAGTTCACTAAACTTACAGCCATACCCCTCTGTTTTCTCTGTGTCTGGTTCAATGACGTCACTTTTGTGAAGGGCATCTGTAGTCCTGGACTTATTTTCACACAAAACCTAAAATATTGTTCCCCACAGTTCAAAAATAAGCGTGTTCTTGGTATCAAAAAAGCTTCTTTAAAATTCACGGACATCATTTGTAAAATCCATGGCACAAAACAAACAGGATTAGAAAACAGGATTAGAAAATAGCATGTTTGGCCCCTCTTACTACCATTCTTTTTTTTTTTTTTTCGTTCTTCCAGGGACCCATGGTCCGGAAGTAGATGGGCAGCTCCCTACAGTTTAATTTGGAAGTCCATTGTTGCCAAGTGCCTTGCCTCGACCTCTTGCCCCTTCTTTGGACCCCGCCCCCTAATTTGATTCAAGAGTGGAATCAATGTCTTTTAACTGTTGTGTTTTGATAAACATCAGTCTGATAATTGCAATGTTATGCCAATGCTTTCAAATTTCTTTCCTTGAAAAGGTGTCTCGGTCAAGAAGGCTAACATATCATTTGCTCACTAGCTAAGATGGTTAAAGAGGTTTGGGCTAAAGGCACGTAGAGTCTTAAACCAAATTCAATAAAGCTGACGTAAATATAAACAGCTATCCACAATCATAGATTATCTAAATCAAAACATGTGTGTGATTTGGTAAGATGATGCAGTTGCAGGCAGTGATGACTCGGACCACACATGACAGCAAGGTTCAGAACTCGGATGCTGTGCATTTCTTCATGCACAACATTTGTCCATCATTCTTCATGTTTGCCGAACAGAAATTACTCCTCAGCCTTAATGGGGATGAACTGAAAGGTTATTAGGGCCAAACATTCCATGAAAAACCTCAACTTTCTAGTTCCCTGAAATATTTCTTGGTCAACAAATGAATCCAAAGAGATGAGGAGAAGACACTACCAAAGACACCCTCCACTGGCCTCGTGCTAATAACTGTCAACTGATTAAATGTGTAAGATCTGAGACAAACGACTGGGCACTGGGTGCAACAAAGCCAAGCATCTCATTCTCTGACTCTGAATTCTAGCACCTCATGTGAATTTCAATGATTCCTCTGTAAACTTTTTACATAAGCATCAACTCACACTGAGTGTATATCAGGTTATAAATCATCAGCCCACACTCCAGACTCTGAGCCCAGTGCTGACTCCAACACTGTCACACTCAATGGCAGTGGGCTGGAGGTTATCGACCAGGCCTATGGCACTGAAAGCAATGCAAATTTCTACTGTGCACCCATGACGAAACATGTGTGCAGCACATGTCTTCCACACAAACAAGAAGTGACTTGAACTCACGCAGATTTGCAATATTACAGGAAGCACACAGAGAAGTCAATCAATATTTGACCCACCTGGCCTTTCCTGACCAACCTTTGCTCTTATGCTTGCCCGTCTTGTCACGCACAGCATCAACCCGACTCTGTAACTCTTGAAAATATGAAAAAAACGGAGAAATGTGATTACTCCGTAATGTGCAGCAGGCTCATGGGGAATGGCATGCTCCTCCTGCTGATTTTGAATATCTCCAATAATTGCTATCCAGTGGTTCTGTATAGCTAAGTGGCGTCCTCTGAATAAGTCCTTTCTCGAAATCATGGAGCAAAAGTAAGACCGTTAACAATAGCAGTGCTTTCCATGTATGTCAAACCCCAAGTCAACCCCCCCCCCCCCCAAGCAGCTTGTTGAGGGTAATTACAGTATACTCTAAGTTGCACTAAAACAAAAATGTGCCGCTGGAATGAAAGAACTCCACCAGCTGCCTCAAATCAGGATGGAAATTATGTGATTCTTGGATACAATCAAGAAAAAAGTTTGATGGTTAACTCTGAGTTATCAAAATTACGGTGTCTCTGCCAGATCCTCTCTCAGAAATCGACCCCTTTTCTTTAATGAGACCACATAATGGTTAAATAAGTTAGGCTCAAATCTAAATATATGACTTCTTTTTCTTTTTATCATACAATCTGACTGAAGGAACTCTCGCTGCTTTCGGTGAATTACATTAATGGAGGCATCAGAGCTTTCAGTATGTGCTTTATTTTGTTGTAAGCAATTTTTTGCCAATGCTAAATACATGTTCAAATCAAACAACGAGAAACAATCTGTTCTTAAAGTCACTCCAGTAAAACATAACAAAGTACATGTGGTATCACTCAGGTCCACATTAGCAATCAGCCTACAACAGAAGGTGTCAGGGGAGCATTTCAAGCTTTTAGCTTGTAGCGGACTGCCAGTTACCAGCAGGGTGCTACCTCTACATGGAGCTGAATATTGTTCTTGGCACTGGAACCATGAGAATAAAGAACAAGAGAGTTAGGAAGCGTAACTGTGATGTGCCATATTTTCCAGTTCAGGGTCTCTCCATCAGGATACAGGCGGGGTCAAAGGTGCAATAAAGGGAGTCCATCACAGGCAGAGCATGCTGAAGTACGGAGCTCTTTGTGGTTAGGGGAAAGCAACTTGCTTGGACATTTAATCAGATTTTAAAGTAAACACAATGCATAGAGGGCTGAGTCCAAACATCACAACTAATTTTCTCCGTCATTATTTTCTGTACCTTTCTATAGAACGTTAATGAATTAGAAGTCTTGAACAGGAACCAATGTAAAACCGCAGAGAGCACCTCCATGTGTCCATAAATGTTCCCTTAAGAGGCTGAACTCTGCTTTTGTTCGAAATCAAAATATAACGTGTGTGAAGTGTATCTTCTGGAATATTTCTTTTTTTACACACGGAGACTGAAAAGGAAAATATGTATATGCTCGCTCTGTGTGCCATATGTAGGGGTTTCCACAGAGTGGAAACCTCCGTAAGCACCGGTTAAGTAGCACAATTTGGGTTTTCAGATGGCTGCAATTGATCTGCCACATTGTGACGTTTCTGTGCGAGAGAACTGCTCCAAGTTAAACAAGCGCCTATGTCAGGAGGTATTTCTTTCTCCACCACAACATCCAGCTGCATCTCAAAGTTATGAACATTGTGTTTGCAGAGGGCTTTCACCCTCATGTCCGGAAATCCCAAGAGACACACCCGCCTCATGGTGTTTATTGCAGGTCACTATTAAGGCCCAGTCCCTCACAGGCACCTTGGCAGCCAAGGGAAGCCCTATACCCCAGAGGACAGTGTGTGATTGTTTTAATGTGGTTTCTTTGGTATTTGGTGTTCCAGCAAAAACTCAACCACACATCTACTGACTGCCATGTGCAGACTTGAAAATTACAAGGACCCACATTGCCAGAGCGAGCATAACTTAAACTGTACACATTGTTACTGTTTATATTCCAGAAAGAGATTATGACATTTTAGCTTTCTCCTGTGAGCGTGCACTTGTCTAGTCCTGATTAAATCAAACTGTTCTAGCATACTGCTGTTCCTTGTCCTTGTTGCCCTTTCACAAGAGAAAATCAACAAAGCATGTAACATGTGGTATGCTATGTGCAATGAGCTGCAGTGGGTATGACATTACATCTCTGATGTCCTTAGTAAGCAAGTTTATGCTGTGGCTGCATCAACAAGTGTGTGATGTGGTATAGGAGAAATGTGTAAGCAAGTCACACAGCGTCCTGGGGGAAATCAGGATAAACTGGTCTATATGCTTAATAAGCGCATTTTATATTTTGTGAAAAAAAAAAATTCTAGGGTCAGCGGACCGTGCTTTTTAGTACTTTGATGAAAAATCAAAACAATGAAAATGGAGCACAAGATCAATAGTGCTCTGCTGGCCATTTGGTGCTTTTTCCTGAATTACATAATTCAAGTTTGCAGTATATTGGAATCATATTTGTGGTGAGTTTTGGCAAGAATATGTGTAACATTACTTTTATTATTTATGTGATATGGCCAAATATGTGAATTATAATAATTCTGAATGCAAATACTGCAGAAAATGTACTGTCAATAGAAAATGAATAATTATCAAGGGTATTCAGTCTTAATGACTATGAAAATATTACCAATACACATTTCATGCTCATTCAATACCTGCTATTAATAATGTTTGATCATGTGATTTTTTTATCATCATCATCATCATCATCATCATCATCATCATCATCATCATTATCGTCACCACCGTCATCATCTGCTGCTTTCTAAGATGTTGGAACAAATGTAGATGGATTTCTTACTTTTGTTTTTGCAAATTCATCACCTACTTAATCCATTACGAATAATAATAACAATAATAATAATAATAATAATAATAATAATAATAGGGTTTTGCTACATTTAAATTTCTTTTTAATCCTGTGTTCTTTATATCATAATAGTAGTCGGGTCATCTCTCATTCATCCAACAGGTATGACGTACGCATGCTCACACTGTCCTCTGGAAAACATGGCGTCTGTATCAGAATTGTACGATGTGGGATGGGAAGGTAAGAAGGTCAATCCTTCTCGTGCATGACTGTGGCACGTTTTGATATTTTTTTTCAGACATTCAGTGATTCTTCGTGTAAGGGTTAGGGTTAATGTCTCCGTTGTCTCACCGTTGAAGTACGCTCAAATGAGAAGGCTGCCTTTGTAGCACTTAGCCAATGCTAGTTAGCTTGGTGAGCTAACCTGTCATTTTTGCGACAGACAGTAGTTAATACCAGCGTTATTCTTCTCCTCGACCCAGTTGATAACGAGTTACAGTACAGCGGTTAATAAAGTGTAAATTATCAAGTAATTGATTAAGAACGGGATGTAATAACTACTAGTACATTGTAAACGGGTACGGGTTACGAAATTAGCCAATAATGCTGCGACAAAAAACAGCTTTGGACGGGGATAACATTAGTTTTTACTACAGGTCTTATTTGTTTTCTAAGCTCTAAGGTCGTGTAATGAGCATCTAACTATTTTATTGTGAAACAAAAGCCGACAAAACTAACTTCGGATACGCTATTTTCCACGGAAGTAAGGTTACAGCTAGCATGAGTTTTATTAGCTGTCTAATAAACCTGAGCGTGTTTAGAAAAACAGTAGATTATGTATGTGAACTAAGGAATAAAAGGCTTAAATGCTGAACTGTGATGCTGCCAAAACTTTCTTATGATTGGATGCTTTTTTCACAGAGATGAGAGACAAGTTACGTAAATGGAGAGAAGACAACAGCAGGAACAGTGAACAGATAGTGGATGTTGGAGAAGAGCTCATCAGTGACCATGCATCTAAACTGGGAGATGATGGTAGGCATTTGTATTTTATTCGCCGGTTGACATAATTTTGCCTCATTTTTTTTCAAAACTGAGAAATTTCGGAAAAGTAAACAGTTTTTAATTAGTAACTCACTTATTCACACATACTAATTATCTGAGTTACTTATTCCTCAGTAGGGTTATGGGAAGCTGAGATCTAGCTGTCACCAAGTGGAACACCCTGGACAGATCTCCAGTCCATGACAGGACTACAGAGAGACAACCAGTCTAGGGCTGCAGCTATCGAATATTTTTGTAATCGAGTACTCTTATCGAATCTTTTTTTCGATTAATCGAGTACTCTAATAAATTACCCTTTTGTGTTTGTAAACCATTATATCAAATAGCATGTTATAATTATGAAAGACCTCTTAAAATGAGCAAGCAATTGCCAGTTATTCTTCAAGTTTTATTCAAAATTAGTTTTCAAAACTTCAGCACTTCAACTTTACTTCACAGTAAACAAATGCCTGTGCAAAAAATAAGTAAACAACCTGAGCCGATTTTCCCCTCGTGCGAGAATCTGCTAACCTGCAAGCCAGAGGATAACTGTTGAAGTAGCGCTGCGAGCGGCTGCGGCCCAAACAGAACCAGAACCGCTCACGGCGCATGCGCAAACAGCTCGCCGGCTGTTTCCCTATTAACACACGTCCGTTTTAATTTCTACACTTTTTTTCTCACACAATAACAAGGATTGTCGAGAAAGCATGTTTGCTGTGGTTTTGTCAAATTATACTGATCGCAAAACATTTATTTACTTTCTTTCGTTTTCCTCCGCCACTCATAAATACCTGTGTCCTCCTGCAGAAACCCCGAGGGACAACGGACATCAATAACACAATAAAAAGTCCGACGTGTTGTGTAAAACAATTTTTTAGCACATTTTAAGTTTGACGTGTTGCTACCAGATGTATGGTGTGAGCTAAAACTGAGTGCTACAAACGAAAAAGTCGCACAGCATCTGCAGAATATATAGAAATACAGGCTAAAAAGCATTATCTTGTAGAGGCTCTGAGTCCGCTTGCAGAAGTGACATTTACAGGTGCTGCAGCACGGAGGATGTGGTGTTGTGCTAGGCTAAATCCATTTTACAGTATTTATACTGGACTACGTTTTCCACCATACGACGTGAAAAATGGTCCCACACCTTTGACATTTTGTGTCTTTTTAGAACTCCACCGGGGTCTACGTTGTCCGCCATGGCTTAAGAGAAAGTTAAGTTACGTTCGCTACTCGCGTGTGCATTCAGCCCAGTGGGCATGTGCATGTGTTATTTCGGTCCGGGTGAAACATGACCCCGGGCGATTGCAAAGCCATGAATTAATATGAATTAAACGAATCCTCGAGGCAGAGAATTTGACTCGAGGATTTTTTGTACTCGAATTATTCGAGGTATTCGAGGAATCGTTTCAGCCCTAAACCAGTCACACACTCACTCACACCTAGGGATTATTTATGGCACCTTCACATCTGTCCTCGCCCAGTCTCATCTCGGTAGCGTCTTCCCCCTCCTGCGTGGCCAGGTTTTGTTCACAAATGCGGCTTCCATATCTGGTTTGGTACGGTACGGGCTGGATAGCTTTTTTGGTTTCACATCTGGGCAATATGTGCATTTTCTGTTCTGAGGTGACTTTTGCCAGACATCTTCCTTGGCGGTCCGACTGGAATCGAGTTGTTTTTAAAGGACCGTAGCGTTTGCAAAACGGGATTTGCCGCGGCACCCTGGGGAAGATTTTGGCATTTATATTAGCAAAGCGGAAGCTAGAATATACTGCCATCAGGCACCTCTCAAACCAAGACGGGATAAAAGGAGGTCGCTGGGCGGCCCCCCCGTATGTGATGTACAGGGTCGCGCATTCAGCGCAGTCTTAGCGGAAGACACGTCAGACTGATGGAATTTGTTTTTCAGGACCTTAAGCTTAGATGTTACCTGCTCTTTGTCTCGCTTGACGCCCCGATTAGCCAGTGTTTTCACCACTCTGTCAAACAGCTGGCTGTCTCTCACCGTCCCCATAAAAACGCGACTAATCTGTTCGTCCTCTCGCATGGCCAAGTGCTCCATGGTCTCCGCATCTGTCCAGTTTGCCATGTTGTAGATGGTTGAAAGATACTAGTGAGAGACCATATTTATCTGTGTTTTTATCCCTTCCGGCCGGCACTCGGCGCGCAGTATATGTCACCAACGCGACCACCCTCTTTTGCGGGGGGTGTTCCCAGTCGCTCCAAAGGGATTAGCGGGGCTGACGCGTTTAGCCGTCACAGGCGAGGGGCTCATGCGGCAATACTACTTCCAAGCGAGCCGGAACAAATGCCGCAAAATTCGCGCTATGCCATGCCGGCATGGCGCGTTTATAGACATACCATGCGCCTGATGGCAGTGCATGGTGGCGCAGTGGTTAGCACTGTTGTGTCGCAGCACGAAGGTCGCAGGTTCAAAACTCGGCTGCGGCCTTTCTGCGTGTTCTCCCCATTCATGCGTGGGTTTCCTCTGGGTACTCCGGTTTCCCCCACAGATCACAACATGCCCTATTTGTTATAAATTGTAAGTCACTTTGGATAAAAGCGTCTGCCAAATAAATAAACATAAACATACCACTGCTGTAATATTACGCCAATTTGCTGGCTAGGTGTGTCTTATAAAAGCACCTTAGGTGACACAACAGACTGATTGGCGGGCCTAAATTCACATTTACCACCTCCGATTGGCATTTAGAATTAGCCAGTGTGAGCTTCCCGCATGCACGATTCAATATAATTTTGGTTGCTGTGGAGTAAACATCTTTCTGTCTGCAGCATGGAGCGCCTGCTCCAGCGTGGCAGCAGATTGCTGCTCAGTGGGAAAAGAGAGGGGGGAGCAGGAAGGAATGGCCATGAGCACCACAGCTGCAGCAACGGAGGACAGAGTGTTATGAGGACACACACAGCAGTATTAGTGAGAGGACAGGGAGCTAATCAATAAAATAATGTGGTTCAGAGTCTCCAAAAACAACATGGCTCATTCCCGCCTTTTTTTTTCTTATTAACTTATTCGCTGCCAGCCGTTTCCTTATCGGTAAAGCCCTTCTCTACCAGTGTTTCTCACCGTTTTTACCATTTTTTTTAAGAGTCACAGAACGTTGTGCGCTAGAATGATGTAAACGCCAAAACAACCAAAACAAAGCAGAGACTCACCTCTTACATCAGGAAGAATCCTCGCGTTTCGAGCTTTATCCGTTCTTTCAAAATCCATTGTTGAATTGTGATCGGCAGAAGCTTTTCCGGTTTTCCTCACTTTTTTTACAGCAGCGACCCAAAACGATCTCTTGGCACATGGATTTTCTGCTTCCTGATCACGTGACGTGTGGCGTATGCGGATGAAGTTCGGCTTTAGAGCTGAGATGTTTGTTCTCATGGTGCGGGGGCTCGTTCAGATGCCCACACAGTAAAAACATGCAAATGACGACTTTAGTCGTCAATGGCAGTGAATGAGTTAAGGAAGACATCACAGACCTTTCTGCTCGTCTAAGCTCCACCCACATGCTCTGGGATTTTCCGCATTTTTGAGTAGTCATTGTGAAACGTGAACAAAAACCGCCCGTATGAGCCTGGACCGATGTGAGCCAGCCTCAACCATTCTGACCCCGATCTGGAAGTTCTTATAGCCTTCTCGGGAAAGTGGATGCCTCCGAGCATGTGGGCAGGGCAAAGAAGTCTTTGGTGCCTTTCTTAAGTTAGTAAACAAAGGTGCCCATGAGTAATGTATATGAAATATGAAAATTCAGCTGATGTCGATATCTAACAATAAAGCTGTTATAGAACGTGCCAGTTATTATAGGTGTATGCTAAAGATACCTGCGCCCAAAAGGAACGGGAAATACGTCACAAGACAATTCGGTCATGGTAAAAGTGTAAATAACATTTTTAAACTACACTTAAATACAGATTATGCACATCACTTATAGTCTGTATGATGTATAGATCCATCCATTTTATGAACCCGCTTTGTCCACGTAGGGTCGCGGAGGGGGGGCTGGTGCCTATCTCCAGCAGTCAATGGGCAATCAGGCAAGGTACACCCTGGACAGAGAGCCAGTCCATCGCAGGGCAACACAGAGACACACAGGGCAAACACACACACACACACACACACACACACACACACACACACACACACACACACACACACACACACACACACACACACACACACACACACACACACACACACCCTAAGGACAATTTAGGCAGACCAATTAACCTAACAGTCATGTTTTTGGACTGTGGGAGGAAGCCGGAGGACCCGGAGAGAACCCACGCATGCACAGGGAGAACATGCAAACTCCATGCAGAAAGATCCCAGGCTGGGGAGCGAACCCAGGACCTCCTTGCTGCAAGGCAACAGCTCTAACCACTGCGCAGCCGATGTATAGATTGTTTAGTTGAATTTTCAAAATTTTGTATTAATTTATTTGTAAATATTTTGTGTATCACCTCTTCCTGTGAGACTGGAGGGGCGGTGCCGTAGCGCCCACTGTGGACGAGCCGCCACTGGTGACCAGTAATACTTTTCTCCTTCTCGACCTTTTCTTACTGGAAGTATCACCAATGCTATTGTTGTTATTTATTTAACCAAATGTCTTTCATTCTTCATGTCACACAGACTACTGTGTTTAAAGTTAAGCGTTAGTTGGGACTGCAGATTCAAGTGAATGAGAATATAATGTATTAGCCTGATAAGAATGTTTTTTTTTTGCCTGAGTGTGCAGCTTGCAGAATATCAACAGGCTGCATTTATTGATGAGAAAACTGTTCTACAGTTATTTTGTACAGTGAACAACTTCCTTTTGTTTAGAAGTTACTGAGATTCAGTGACTGTACACATGCATGCCTGTGCAAGCATGACTTCATTATGCATGCTTGAAGAGGTGCGTAAACAGTCAACACGCCATGCTTTTACTGAAACAAGCTGTTAAATTGGCTGTGAAATGAGATGGTAATTGTCAGAACAAGAGTTGGAATTATTAAAGTCAAGAAAAACTCTGAAATAGTTTGCTTTGGCACAAGTTTGACAGTTTTTGGGTGGAGCTGGATTTTACAGTTCTGTTTCATTAACACGACTTGTTCTTTTGAGTGAACATGTTTATTGTGCTTATCAAAAGTCTAATATGTCATTCTGATTGCATTAACTGGCTTCTGTAGTCAGGCTATTAATCAGTGCATTATAATGTTACAACTGACTGAAAGAGTAAACATTTCATTGTTTATTGCCAGCTGCAGGGTTAATTATGCTGGAGGGGGTGTTATGCTTGTCTGTCAGCGGTACTCTGCATGTTTTGCCATGAAAGGATCTAACATTGCTGAAATTGTCAGACTTAATTAAATTAAATACATTTAAATAATAATGTTGTTGGGAGTGTTCGCTTTCCTACTGTACCTCGTCTGTGACAGTGGATGAGGGGCGCAAGTTTCGTTTCGTGACTTTCGCGGGGAGGGAGGTGGGGGGTTGAACGCTTGGCCTGGCAGGCGGCCAAGCAAGGACTGGTGGCACGCCTGGCTTGTTAAGCGCTGGGGGAAACATTGATATTTCTTATATCAGAATGTCAATATATCAGTGACGAGTGGTGTGTTTGGTACCTGGGTCTTCAGTAAAGGGCAGTTTTCCTATTCACTGTTGCTACATGCTTGCTTGGTATGGAGGTTACTGTAAAGTCTCTGACACAACAAGTCAGAGACTCGATGCATTCTGCTGGTTTTTTTATATAGGAAACGTTTAACTAATTGACATAATGAACAGAACTCAGTGGACTGATAAATAGGTTCAATTGGAATGTTTAATTTTTGAAGTGCCTTGAAATTATTCTTGTTGTGATTTGGTGCTACACTGTATAAATTAGAGGCCGACCTGTGAGGATTTTATTAAGGCTGATGCCGATACCAATTTTTAAAGAATTTTGTTGCCGATAGCCGATATCTAAAGCTGATTATTAAGGCCAATATATATATATATATATATATATGTTTTAGAAGCACATTGATTGTGTAAGACAACTGAACACTCACTGTGTGCATTTAAATAAGTCAATAAATCTCTTGTGTGTGCATTTAAATAAGTCGATAAATCTTAATTTCAAATCTAAAACAAACTCAAAACATAAAAAAACCCTGTGTGTGGGGGTCCTTCGGGTCCTTTCTTCAGTCTAGTAGTGGTGGCAGTTGGCCACACAGGTGCCTGATTAAAAAACAAATAATTTCGGCCGATATTGAAAAAATTGAATACATCGACCCGATATATCGGCTGGACGATATATCAGATGAACTCGTTTCTTTTCGTTTAGTTTATTTCATTCAATCAATCAAATAAAAGTTACATTAAAACAATTCATATTCACAAATAATCATAAATGAAAAGGAGCAGAAAGAAGCAAAAACTTATAATATCTGCCCCCTTTTCACATCAAGACATTAGCTGTTCAACTCAAAGAATTTCGTTCATCTAACCCCCACCCCCAACACAAAACAAGTCAATCAGCCTACTTAAGGTCTTTTTACTTCATCATGATACGTTTCACATTTTTTTAAAATACAGAAAATGATTTAGATTGTTTTTTTTTTTAACTGTTGAGTCTATTCCATAAATGGACACCTTCAACTGAGATACATCTTTCCATTATCGCTGTTCGGAATCTTGGTTTTTAAAAAATATCAGTTCCTTTTAGATTATAATTACTTTCTCTTTTTACAAATTTCTTTTGAATATTTATCAGTAGAATTCATTTATGTGCTTTGTACATAAGTTTTAATAAATTATATTCTACTAGTTTGCCAAATTTCATTAGATCTAGTTGTGAAAACATTGGATCAGTATGATCCCTGTATCCACTTCCACTAATAACTCTCACTGCTTTTTTCTGTAAAAGAAAAATGGAATGCGTATATGTTTTGCAGGTACTTCCCCATACTTTGATACAATATGTCAGATATGGAAGAATTAACGAGTTATACAGAATATGCTAAGCTTTTATGTTCAACAATTCCTTCGTTTTATTTAGTAATGAAATAGCTCAAGATATTTTAATTTTAATATAATTTATGTGAGACTTCCACGATAAGTTTTTGTCAATAATAACACCTAAAAACTTAACTTCTTTTACTCTTTCTATCTCAATTCCTTCAACATTTATTGATGCATCAGCACTTATTTTACTTCTACAAAAAACTATAAACTTTATTTTATCGATATTTAAAGAAAGCCTATTGATATCAAACCATATTTTATTTTTTGTAAATTCATTTTCAACTACATTTAAAACATTTTTTTATAGTTTCTCCTGAATAAAATAAGGTAGTGTCATCTGCAAATAGTATGCACTTGAATAATTTTGAAACCAAAGCAATATCATTAACGTATAAAATAAAGAGTATTGGTCCAAAGACCGATCCTTGTGGTACTCCACAACTAATATTATGTATAGAGGAATTTATATTATTAATTTCTGCAAACTCTACTATAAATAAACTGAACTGAATACTATTTGCGAAAAGTGTTACATTTTTAATATTGAACTATACAATTCTTAACAGTCACTCAAATAAATGTTTATTTTCAGATTCAAACAACTTTCTCATTCTTATGGATTACAGTAAATTTGTACCAGTTTGACATATGGTAAATGTCCTGTATTTATATAGCACCTTCTTAGGGTTCTACAACTCCTCAAGGCGCTTCACAACACCATCAGTCATTCACCCACTCATTCACATAATCACACGCTGGTGGCGACGAGCTACAATGTAGCCACAGCTGCCCTGGAGTGCACTGACAGAGGCAAGGCCTGCCGAACACTGGCACCACCGGTCCCTATGTCCACCAGTAGGCAAGGGGCGTTAAGTGTCTTGCCCAAGGACACAGTAGCAGCATTCTCTGGTGGGAGCCAGGATTGAACTTACAACCTTCAGATTACTAGACAACCCACTATACCACTTTAGCTACTGCTGTCCTATATCTACATTAATAACATTTAGTTTTGATGTAAAATAGGCCTATAAACCTACTTTGTTCTCTTTGACACTATAAGATATCATCTTTATTTTTTTAGATAAAATCTAAATATAATGATGTGCATATATCTTATATATTATGTAACTTAAACTAGTATAAAATGTTACACTGAGCTAATTCACATCACAGTGGCCTTTGACTAGTGTGAAACTTTGTAGTACCTTTTATACAAATATATGTTGTTAACATTACCTTCAGCTTTTGACTGTAGTTAATGTAGCATTGTTTGTTAAATGGAAACATTAGCAAAGGCCACTGTCGTGTCTGTCAGGTGTTACATTTATTATATTTCTACTTCTGATCTTACATCAGAAGGAAAAGGGCGTTTAACAGTGTCTTCTTTGTGTGTGTCTCCTCTGCCCAGTCTGGATTATTTATGAGCAGGTGATGATCGCTGCACTGGACTGCAGTCGGGATGACTTGGCTCTGGTACGTTTTAGCCACACTTTCTCACACCCAAAATCTTCCAAAAGTTAATCCTTTGCTCTGCAGCACCAGCGCTGCCACGTTTAAAAATGTGATTTTTATTTGGTCAAGTATTATTGCTCTGTCTGTAGTTTGGAAAAATAATTTTCACAGAGTTGGATGTTAATGAGTCGAGAAGCGTGCCTCAACTATTTGCTAAGCTTGGCCATCATTAGGCTAGTTAAGCATTTTCTCCCTTTCCTTCATAAAATGTTTATGGGGTGTTTTTGACTTTAGAAATACCTCTTACCCTAAAGACCCGAATAGTCTGCACTGACAAAAGATAAAGATCATGTTAAAATGAGTGGTTTGTCACCCATCAGAATGAGTGCAATTCTTTTGGCAGAATAAATTACTCACCAGTACAGATGAGGCAAAAGTCATTAGAACTACTTGTCTGTTGGCAGCTCTGTCCCTCCTGTTGCCTCACTTAAGAAATAATCAGTTGCAAAAATGATGCAAGTCACACTGATGACTTTTCCATGTAATATGAAAATAAAGCTGAATGATTTTAACAGTTTTTAACCTTTTTTCTGCATGGTAAATGATTTTAGACATTTCTGATTTGTGTATGTAGAAGAGCAAGACAAATGTGAAACTCTTTAATCCTCTTATATAGCAGCAATACATTGGTGTAGATTCTTGATCGTCCAGGACATGATGACAAGAACGAGACAAGTCCAGTTGTTTGCAATTAAAATTTCAAGGTCAAAGTAGCAAGCACTATTTTCTAAACGGGTAACAGAAGAACCACAGATTTCTGTAAGATGGTAGAGCAGGCCTCTTAACTTTTTGTATCGATGTTTTTGTTTTTCTCTTAGTAAACAATGAACAAGTTGTCTTTTTTGTATTGTAACATCTCAGATATCTGTACTGTAACTTGAGTTCAACATAAAGTCTGAATGTTTTCCTAAAATCATAAGTCAGTCTATAACTGGTGTTCCTCCTCTTCCCACATCCTAACAGACCTGTCTACAGGAACTGAGGAAGCAGTTTCCAGATAGCCACAGAGTGAAGCGATTAACGGGCATGAGGCTGGAAGCTTTGGAAAGGTAAGCACTGAATGCTCCAAAGTAAAAGGAAGGTTAAAAAAAGCACCGAGACAGGTCTGTGTGGTGTTTAGGGTTAGGGAAAGAGAAAGTGTTAATACATTCTGAGTATCTCAATGACCTGGGTGTGTTAAAATGTAATGTGTGTGTGGCGTGTGGTGTGTTTATATTGGATCGTCCATCATTTGTTTTGGAGAAAAAAAGGAAATGAGAACGTAAAGGTTTGGTGCAGAGAAGTCCTGCAGCTCTTTAGCTTGTGTCAGGATTTCCCGAGGAGGAAGGGGTTAGATGCCAACGTTATTCTGTCTTTCTTGGTTTCTCCTTCTTGGTTCTTCCCTTATTCTGTTGCTCTTCACCACATTTGTTCTACTGTCTCTTTGTTCCTTGTTTTCATGGTTTGCTGTCCTGGTTTAAAGCTTGGTTTATGCTTGACGCATTCACTTTCCGCGCGGTGATGCGGCTCGCGGATGGAACGCGCTTCACAACTCGCAGCGTTTATGGTTTGTGCGGCTCGTCTCTGCGGTGAGCCAATATTCTCCCAAACTGAACATGGCAGCATGGAGATCTACGGCAAGAATCCAACCCTACACCATGGTAGAAGTAGAAATGACTGTTTACAACACGGCATTTCAGCATTTTTAACAGCGTTCTCATCTTTTCCGACAGTGCGAGCTATTTCTCTCCAAGAATTATTAACAACACATTGATCACGGCGATCTTTGAGAGCTGAATCATACAAATGTCTGTATTTACGAACCTCTGCCGTACTAGTTCTTGCCGGTCCGCCATGTTTTTCCGCGTCCGTCCGTCTGCGTGGTTAGAAGTTTTCCGAGGTGCGCGTTGCGGAAATCTTGAGCCGTGCGGAGACGCGGTGGAGGGGCGTGGTTGTTAAAATGACGCAACTTTTCCGTGTGGACCTCGCGGACGCGTCAAGCATAAACCAACCTTAAGTCTCTGCTCTTGGACCTTTAAGCCTTGACGTTAGGGATAGATTCATATGGAATTTTTTACATGACTGTGTGGTTAACATGTTTAAAATAATTAGATAAAATGGTCAGACATAATAACTTGCAAAAATAAAAATCCCTGAAACCACAAACTGCAGACTGGCAGATGACAATTTGCATGGAGTCTGTGAAAAAGACATTTTTTGAATGATCCATAAGAGATCGTCTCCAATCTCTGTGGCTCTCTGCAGCACATTCTTATTTATCTGAGCCCCCGAAGCTGGACGTTGTAGTACAAACACGAAGTAAGATCATTTCTGATTATTGTAATGTTTGTGCACAGCTAAATCACCATACAGGACGCTCTGGTCAGCAGTGATTTAGCAAGTAGTCCAACCACTGGTATAATAAAGCATCTCACACCCTACAGCTATGTCAACTTTTACAATCTAACCATGTAATCACACAACCAACACGTCTCTAAAAAGAACAGTAACAGCACTCAGAATAATCCCTTATGGATCATTACAATATTTTAAAATATATTTGAATGTTTTCTAGCGTTACATAATAATTCATTATTATATAATGATCCCTAATGATTTTCTGATTAATTCTGTTGTTTTATGAATTATTTCTGAGCAGAATGACTGTCTAAACCTCAACCACAGAAAATGTTTTGCATTTTTTTAAACCATTGCAACAACAAATTTTTGTTGCAATAAAAATATGTAAACTATGTAAATTTAAGAGGTCACTACAATCCCCACTGTTTAACTCATTCACTGCCAGCCGTTTCCTGATCACTAACGGCCTTCGCTGCCAGCGTTTCTCACCATTTTTACTGTTTTTTTAAGAGTCACAGAACGTTGCGCGCTAGCATGATGTTGATGCCAAAACAACCAAAACAAAGAGGAGACCCACCTCTTACATCAGGAAGAAGCCGCGTGTTTCGAGCGTTATCCGTTCTTTCATAATCCGTTGTCGAATTGTGATCGACAGACGCTTTTCCGGTTCGCGCCTCACTTTTTTTACAGGAACGGCCCAAAAGGATCTCCAAACACATGGATGTGTTGCTTCCTGATCATGTGATCTGTGACGTATGCGGATGAAGATCGGCTTCAGGGCTGAGATGTTTGTTCTCTCAGCGCGGGGGCTCGTTCCGATGCTCAAACAGTAAAAAAATGCAAATGACGACTTTAGTCGTCATTGGCAGTGAATGAGTTAATAGATACAAATATGCGGCACTTGAGGACATTCTGCCTGAGACACTTCCACATCGGCCAGTTTGGCAGGCATAGCTCAAACATTTTCCCAAACACACTCCGTCTCACAGTAAAATTTGCATTCATGGGCTTACTCATATCAACTGGAGAAGGCTGTATTGAATTTTCAGCGAGAAGAGTGCTGAGCATGTCTCTTAAAGAGCAAGTCACCCCCAAATTAACTTTTTTTTGCTGATAAACTAAATAAACGAGTGTCTAATTGTGCTGCAGACACATGTAGTCAATAATTTGGCACTTCAGGGCATCTTAGTTAAATTTTAAATATTCTGCCTAAAACTGGCAGTGTTGTGCCGTTGTCAGGTAAAAACTCTGCACTGTATTTTAATTTAAATCTGCCACCGCTATTGGTTAAGAGGTATGCTATGATGTAAACTGGTACATTATGATGTCACAATGCTGTCGTGAGCCTGTGTGTGTGTGTATTTGTTAGCAGCTCCGCCTTCTCGGTCTGCCAGGCAACAGCATTTGTTGCATTTTTCAAACATGAAGTGGGAGTGGAGTTAGACTCTGGTAGGGGGTGACTTGCTCTTTAAGTAGAAGCTAACCATTGCAATTAGCAATTGCGCTACTAGGTGGAACATGTTCAGGCCTCTATCATTTGTGAAGATAAAAATAAATCAAGGTTTGGTTTTTACTCAAGAAAGAAGAGTGAACAGAGGCAGCGGAAGTCATGTTGCTAGTAGCCAATCAGCAGTAAAATGTTCACATATCATGAATATTAATGAGTAATAGCGACCCTAAGTCACACCCATCTACTTCCGGATCATGGGTCCCCGAAAATAAGAAAAAATGAAGGCAAGTCAATGGGGCTATGAAAGGTATTTCCTAATCCCGTTTGTTATGTGCCATGGATTTCACATATGATGTCCGTTAATTTTAAAGACATATTTTGATGCCATGAAAGTGCTCATTTTCAAAAGGCTGCAAAAGTTATTTTAAGTTTTGTTTGAAAAGACATGTTGGGCTACAAATGCGTTTCACCCATCGACATTTAAAAATATGGACATAACCTGCCCATTGCTCTGCTGGGGGACAAGTTGAAGCCAAAAATGGGAGGTTCCCACCACAGATTTTTTGACTGTGTCACACCCAGACAATCCAAAATGGGAAAAGAGGTGGAGCTCAGGTTGGGGCTGTTACATTTGGAACATGGTTGGAACAACTGTAACCAATATAGCTACTAGCTAACATGGCTAACCCAAGAAGCTAAGAAGGGCTCCAGGGACCACGGGGTAGCCCGCTCGTATGGCCGCCCAGCTACCGTATGAGACTGTAGTCATGCTGGTCGCCTGTGGAGATCTAATATGGACTGGGACCGTTAAATTACAAGCAGAGCCAGACTGCTGCGACCGGGAGTCCTGGCCTTCTAGATCAGCTCATTCTCCATGGGCGTAAGTCAGGGGGACATTAGCTACATGCTAACATAGTAAAACGACTCCAAAGTCATTGCTCCACCGTGTTTTTCTTGCTAAAACCGCCTGGAAAAACTATGTTAGCTTTGGGTGAGCATGTAGCTAATGTTCCACTTTATCTAAACTGCTCAATAATGCATTAAGCAATATGTTTAGTAAGGTTATATAATGCATAAAAGCAGTTGTTAACACTGTTTAATGGTTTTGTTAATGCTTAAAGGGACTTTACGGAGTTTTGAATTGTTATGCTCGCGATTGCCCCCTCAGGCCAAAAGCGTAACGGCAGCTTCAATAGTAGGCTCGTGCACGAGGCGCACATGCTGTACGTGCACACTCCTTAACGAAAATAACAGCTGAGACGGTCAGCTCCGTGTGTGTGTGTGGCCCGGAGGACAGAGGACAGGAGAACGCGCAGCTAATTAATTAAATAATTTGGTTCTGTACATTTCTCTTCAGCACAGCTGACAAAGGTTTAAGATGGGTCAGTCCTCCTGCATGCTCAGATCATTCCCTTCCCTTGCTTGAAAAATTGTTCCAAAATGAAAGTTGAACCCACATCTTTTTTATCTGTGAATTCAGTGCCGTTCAGCGAGTCTCAAATAAAAATGTGGGCATCTTACTGTAAAAAAATATACCATTAATGTAATAAAGAAAATCTTAATTAAACTTTGTTCACATCCAGAATCGAACCCGGGTCTCCTGCATGAAAGTCCGACGTCTTACTAGGCGAGCTAACATGCCAATGACGTCACTTGTATCTGTACCACTTAAGAACGGTTCGGAGGGCTATGCCTGAGCGTGAACGTGCACGAAGCAGCCTGCTCGAAAAAGTCGTTTATCAGCAGCTGGTCTCACATTTAGCTGATTCTGATCTGTTTGAGGTTTTCCAATCAGGGTTCAGGTCTGGCCATAGCACAGAGTCTGCTCTACTGAGGGTCCTAAATGACATCTATCTATCACTAGATCACGGAACATCTGTGCTGCTTCTGTTATTGGACCTGACAGCAGCCTTCGACACAGTTGACCACGCGATTCTACTTGATCGCTTGGAACGATGGGTTGGGATCAAAGGGTCAGCTCTGGACTGGTTTAGATCGTATCTCCAAAACAGGACATTCTGTGTTAAACTGGGTGATGTTTTTTCTTCTTGGAAGGGGCTCCGGTGGGGGGTCCCGCAGGGGTCGATCCTTGGTCCACTTTTGTTTGCCATTTATCTGCTACCTCTGGGGTCAATCTTTCGTAAACATGGCCTATCATTCCATCTGTATGCTGACGATTGCCAGATTTACTCTCCATTGTGTCAGGAGAAAGGTCACTCTATTCAGTCCTTTGTCTCCTGTGTTAATGAGGTGAAGTCT